CTCTCCTCTAAGAAATCTCTATGACTCCATAAAAATGTGATATCAGAATAACTCATCTTTCATAAAAAAAATTAAGCTTCAGTAGAAAGTAATAAAGAATACTCTACAGATGTACATGAGGATATTTTGGTTTTATTCTTAAAGGTTGGTAGCTTTTAAACCATAGAGATTGTTTTGCCCCAGATGAGCTTACTTTTTCACTTATGTATAGCTTCTTACATGTTTTCTGGCTCAGTGTGTGTCCAGACTGCTTTTTAAACATAAATGCTGAGGTGCTTGCTGTAGTTCATCAGGTACCTGAGCTATCTGTAGCGCCCCTTTGGATCGAGAGCCACACTGGGCTCTAACTGGGGTTCCTGAATGGAAGCTGCCCCCGGCTCAGCACACCCCAGTGTGACGGAGATGAGCCCCTGGCTCTTCCTGCCTGTTGAGTCCCAGCCCTGAACTGACGGGGGCCTTTCCCTGGTTTCCCGTGAGCCAGCGCGTGCACTCAGTTCCTGCCCGGTCAGTGTGGGTCGGGGGCTGCAGGGTTCTTATCAATTATGCTGTTAGATACCACTACTCTTTTATATCAAAGAAATTTATCTTTTTTGTGAATACTCTTCTGTAAATATACTTAAAGGCATTGTTCATATTTTTAGGGCTTGTATTATAATTTATAAGGTTTTATGCTGGATTCTGCATGGCTATATATATTCTTGGAATAAAGACAGAGCTTACTCTTTCCAAATTCGAGCAGTACTCGGAGAGGAAGACAGGTATATTGGCTTGGTCATAAAGCAACAACAATGGTCACACTGATCATGAAATGAAACAGGTTTTGTGCAAATTAATGTAGTTTCTTATTTATTTGCTTTTGTAAATTGAATAAAAATGGAGTTTTATGTAAATAGACTGCTGAATCCTGTATCATTACAGCTAACTAAAAATTTGTATAGAATGCAATCTTCATTGTAATTTTTAAAATATTTTATGTATTTCTGATGATTTAAATTTCAGTTTTCATACATTATGAAAACTGCATTCTCCTTAATTGCTTCACATATCCACCGTGTGTACTTCTAATTACCGTATAACAGTGTTAATTTAGACAGCTTCGTACTGTGCAGTTTGAACAAAGGAATGCAATGTTATTTTATACAAAAACTTATTTTTATAATAATGATTTGATGTGGACCAACTTCATACCACTATGTAAAACAGCCTCTCTTCTCATAGTGCAGTTACAATGTAGAACTAAAACTTGGTCCTCTATCCTTGTTTTTTAAAGTAAATGGCTAGATTTAGTTGTCCTAGTGGGGTTTCCTTTGAAGGGAAACTGAAAACCATTTTTAAATTGCTTAGTTCAAAATTCATCAAACTGTTTTAAATTATTGGGTTTGGTAATTAACTATCATTTACTTTTTACATTATAAGTGCAATAATTTCACATATTGAAACTCCTCAATGGATGTAATATGTGAGTACTGGTACCTGGTCGTTCTGGTGCTACTTTTATTTAAGCCTTTGTTTTAAACCACCTTTCCCTGAATCTTAAGATACAAAATGTTTCCCATGTGAGTACATGCAGCTCAGCAAGAAACTAACCTGAAATTCCTTGTCCTGCCCTCTCCACTAGAAGAAGAACTAGCATTACTTTTGTGCTTGGTGTGAATATTCAGTCAATAAAAATGATTTACCATCATAAACAGCTGTGATCTTTTCAAATATCCTATCTGCTGCTGGGTTCATCTTGCATTCTTCAAAGCATGGGATCACTAAGGCAGCTGTGTTTCTGTGGTTAATGCCATAAACGAAGTCTTCTAGAAGATACTATTAGTTTTCAACTAATAGGAATGAGTGGGCCCCAAGGCAAAAAAAAAAAAAGTTCATAGAAATTTCCTCTAATAATTTGTAATATACTTTAATTTTTAAAAACTCATTTTTATTTTGCCTTGTTTGGTTCACATATCAACTGTATAAGCCATAATTTTAACCAGTGAACTTAAATATTCAAAGTTTAAATTACTTGCTAATGTCAAAACAAGAAATCATTTGGGGGCAAGTCGACCTCTGCTTGTAATTAAAATTGCTGTTGCTTCTGTAATGTGTGTTTTTTTTAACTTGGTAAAGGGCAATAAAACTATTACATGAAGTTTTGTTATTCCCCATCTCAGGTTATAATAAAAGCCACAGAAATATTCTTCTGATTATATAATTCTACCTCTTAGAGATTTATTATTTATATACAGAATTACTTAGAATAGGAGCATCAAGAGTTGGTGGCATCCTAGATGCCTGGCAATAGAAGATTAGAACAGACAGTCCATGTTGATGACATGGAGAATGTTTAAAATATAATGAAAACGTGATACAAAATCATGCATACATATGATTTCCACCAAACAAAACTTTACATATAAAAATGTAGAGACCAGGCATCATCTCTAATTGGTAGGATTAAAAATTATTTTGACTCTTTCCTATATCTAAACCTGCTGTATCTATGGATTTACCTATTCTGGACATTTCATATAAATGGAATCATACATGTGGCTTTTTTCTGTCTGGCTTCTTTCACTTAGCATGGTATTCATCTCTGTATATCAGTATTTCATTCCTTTTTAAGGCTGGATAATATTCCATTTTATGAATGTACTATACTTATTTATCCACTATTTAAGGGATTGGATGGTTTCTACTTTTTCACTACCATATGTATAAGTAGTTTTTGTGTGACATGGTTTCAGTTCTGTCTGGGAGTGGAAATGCTGAATCATGTGGTAACTAGTTAATTTTTTGAGGAACTGCCTAACTGTATCCCGCAGTGCCTGTACCATTTTTTAAAATTCCCACTAGCAGTGGAGGAAGGTTCTAATTTCTACCATCAGTACTTGTATTTTTGGTTACAGCCATCTGCGTTAATGTATGAAGTGGTGTTTCATTATAGATTTGCATTTCCTTTATAACCGCCTTCTCATGATTATTAGCCATTTGTGTATCTTTGGATAAAAATACATCCTTTGCCCATTTCATCATTGGGTCATTTATTTTTCTGTTAATTTGCAAGAGATTTTATGTATTTTGGATACTAGAACCTGATCAGATAACAGGTTTCCTCCACTATCCAAGAGTAGAGTGTTCCTATGAAACCTCTGTAAGCCAAAATGGCACAAAGCAAAGAATATCATCTGCTTTCTGAAACATAACATTAGTGTTATGGCCCTTAGCTTTTTTGAAAGACCTATGTTAGTATGGTACCAGCTATTTTCATAAAAGCAAAAAAAGAAAAATCCTTTGGATTTCTTTTGGTTAGCGAAAACAGGTACTAATGCCAATGTTTTCTTTTAAGATTTTTATAGTTCTGGCTCCTACTTTTTGGCCTTTGATTCATTCTAATTTTTTTGTATGTGTATATTTAGTGTCCCAGAACCACTTATTAATTTTTCCCATTGATTGTCAAAACTCAATCGACTATAAATGTATGGGGTTTTTTTGGAACTAGTTTTGTACTACATTAATCTATGTCTAAATGTCAGTACCACACTGTCTTGATTACTGTTGTTACTTTGTAAGAAGTTTTCAAAGCATGAGTTGTAAGTTTTTCTCAAGAGTGTTTTGGCTGTTCTGGGTCCCCTGCACTGCCATAGAAAATTTAGGACCAGTTTGTCAATTTCTGCCCATGCACACACAAAAAGGAAGGTGGAATTTTGACAGGGATTGCATTCAATCTATAGATCAATTTGGAAAACACTGCCATCTTAAGATTGCTAATTGTGAACAAGGTCTTTCTTTCAGCAATGTTTTATAGTTTGCAGTGTAAAAATTTCATACTTCTGTTAAGCTTATTTTTTAAGTATTTTATTCTTGATGCTTTTGCAAATAGAATTATTTTTGGATTGTTCTCTGTTGATATATAGAAATACAATTTATTTCCGTATATTGATATTGGGTCCTACAACACTACTGAATTCACTTACTAACTGGAATGCTTTTGTGGATTCTTTAGGATTCTCTATATAGATCATACCGTCTGCAGCTAATCTGGATGCCTCTTGCCAAACCACCCTGGCTAGAACCTCCAGTACCGTATTCACCAGAAGTGGGAGTACTGGATGTCCTTATCTTCTTTTCTGAGGGAAAGCAGCATTCCGTCTTTCATAACAAATTATTTTTTTAATAGATTACCTTTATTAGATTGAGGAAGTTCCCATCTATTATTAGATGAATGTTTTTATCATGAAAAGGTTTTAGGTTCAACAAATTGGGGGGGGGCACATCTGTTAAAATGATTATATGTTATCCTTTATTAATTATATATTGCATTGATTTTTCAGGTGTTAAATCAATTTTACATTCTTGGGATAAATCCCACTTGAGCATGTTAATAGGGGCAAACTTGGAGGAAAGAAATTAACATGTTGTAGTATCAAAAGTATATATTGTTGTACTTTAAAATTGGCTAGGATATTTTTAAAATAAAAACATGTAAGGAGGCATAAAGTGTATTAGGAATGTCATTGAGCTTTTTCACCTTGTACTGAACCATTTTCAAGGACACTGACTCAAATTTAAGTAAATTACCACAGAGATGTGAGTCCTCTTTTTTGGAGGAGCACAGCTGCCCTGTGTGTGGAGATTAGAATGAGCTCTCTGGCTCAAAGAAAATTTCCTCTTCCCTCCCTCCTATCTCTATCACCCAACAAAAGAACATTTTTATTAGCCCTTCAGTGACTTTCTTCACCAATGGGTATGATTTAAATTGCTAAATGTGCTGAAGTTTAACACTTACCAAATAATCACTCATAAATTTCTGTGAAATTCAGACGCACAACCTTATTCCACAGCAAAAAGGATTCCAGTTGAAGTAAACGAATGTTTTAATAGTGCTCATTGAGTTCTTTGCTCATATGACCCATCTAGGTCTTCTAATAGCAGTTTTTAAAAAAGGATTTTAAAGGCTCTGTAAGACTTGAAATAACTTCAAATGTGAGGGCAAAGGAGAACACAATAAAGATCTGTTTTTCTGTTAAAGAGACTAACTAGTAGAAAGAAAGTTTATTTTGGTAACATTGTAAGGCAACAATTAATCATCAAGTCAGCAAACCAGTGAAAAGAAATGGACAGTCTTCCTGAGTGAACAGGTGGTTTCCCTCAGCGGTAACATTTTAGGGATCCTATCATGCTTATTTACATCTGCTAAACTGGAAACAGATACTTCATGCAACAATCATTTTTTGGTCCAACAGTGTGTAAATTTTTAAGAATCAATTCCTTCCAAATCACAATTCTTTACACTTTCCCTGTGCTACTTACATTTAAATTCTGTAGGAAATGATGTGTTTTAGAATTTGAAAAGACCCTTTTAGAAATGAGTTATTCAAATGACCACTCAGAAAAATTCATTTCAGAGGCTGCTGATCTGACAGTGGTGTGCTTACCAACACAGCCATGAATACTGGAATTACTTAATCATTTCTACACTAAAACAGTATTCCAGAACACTTAAGCGTGCCCAGAGACCAGTGAGCATCTTTTTAAGATCTTGCACCACATGTAAGTTTTACAATGCTAACGAAAACCAAGAACAAAAGAATTGTTTACATGTGAGGATATAATTCAAAGGCAAAAGCAAAACCATGATTATTACTGGAAATATCACAAGGAACTTTTTGTGTTTCATACAGTGACCTCCTACAAAACTTGAGTTTTGCCCTTTTTTCCCTATGAGTAATTTCTGGTAATCAAGTCCAGATTACTCACAGGGATGAAAATATGCTTATACAGTTATCCCTTAAGATCCATGGGGTGAGGAGTTAGAGCGTGCGTGTGGATATCAAAATCCACATGCTCTAGTTCCTTACATAAAATAGCACAGGATTTGCATATAGCCTACATACATCCTCCCCTAAATTATCTGAATTATAAAATGTACAAACCGTGTAATAGTTGTTACACTATATTTTTTAGGGAATAAGAACAAGGGGAAAAAAAAGTCTACACGTTCAGTACAGATGGAACCACTGTAGGCCTAACTACGTAGCACACATAAACAACGTAATGTTTTTCCCCTGAATATTTTTCATCTGTGTGTGTGGAACCTGTAGATAGGGAGGACTGGCTATATTTTGAAATTCATTGAGATAGTACTGTTCCTAACTTCTCCGCCACAACTGTGATTCCATACAAGCTATACTATAAACATTTCCAACTTTATTACCGCCTGACAGACTAATGCGGCAGGTGCCAGGCACTTGAAGCTAATAATATATGGTTTCTACAAAATAAAAAATAAGTAAAAGCAATGGCTTCAGTGTCTGTGCACGTCACAGCCAGCATATTACCCTTCAGCGCTGGCTGCAGCCCTCCGTGTAGGCCCAGACAGCTTTAAGAGAATTAGATTAGACAATACGATTAAAAAACCACATTGTATCCACACAAGCAGCTTCAAGAAGAATTTCCTTCTGTGATGCACACTTACTCTATCTGTTCAAATGGATCCAAGTGCCAATTTTTTTAATTTTTTATTATGGTGTTTCTTTCAAATGTTTTTTGGAGGTCTACGCTTGCTAAACTCAGAATTAGTGCAACTTTTTACATTTCTTAACAGAAAAAAAATGAAGCAACATTTACCACCAAACCCCCCAAACCTTTCCACTGCTGGAGCTCAGAATCCGTCAGAGGCACTGCTGGCATATGCCTCACAAGCTACACAGCTGTCTTAAAAATGAAAAGCACCTATAAGGCCTAAGGCTGCCATTATGCAGGGTCTGAACCCCAATAACTACAACTACAGGGATCTTGTTCCAGGACTAGCCACAACCTCAACTTTTAGGAAAGTCAGCTGTGCTGGACAGTAAATTACTGAGAAACCAATCTGTTCATCTGGCTACAGGCAAAAATAAGGACTCAGTGTATCAATAAAATTAGGCTTTCAAGGATTAACTGGATGGCAGAAAACTCCCTCCTACAAAACAAAGAATAAATATTTATAAAATGCTTAGCCACCATGGCAACTCAGTGCTCTGAGGAAGTTAAGGTCATGTACTGGCACAAACTGAACCAAAAGAACCTGTGAAAACCCAGAGGGTATATGTAGCTGGACAAATGCTCGCCATCTCAAATTGGCCAGGTGAAGAGAGGGAACATGTTTCAGAGGGAAGCTTCAGGCGCTGAAACAACTTCACCATGATGGATCTCAGTGACCAGCTGTCGGAAGGGCTAGGAGCAGGAACTTGCCACAGGTCTCCACATCAGGGGTCCTGGGCTTCACTACAGAGATGCGAAGCACACTCTAGAAGCCTCCTAAAGAAGCTCACTCGGCACAGGCTGGGACCTCAAGAGCCCAATGGTTCTCCCCATTCCTTTTTGAAATAGCTTTCTAATGACCTATCCTTAGGTCTCAAAGGGAATCATTACTCCAGTGATTGGTAATTTACCCACCATCCACACAACAAATGGTCTTGGGCTTTAATTGGAAATGTCATTTGTCTTATTAACAATGGGCCTGCAGTACTTTCAATGTCTTTTATGATCCTAAGGGAGCAACTCACTGCTCAGGTTGTTTGTTGGCTTTTGTCCTTAAGGTCGTATAAAATGACACAGTAGTGTAGTGGCAGTACCTACATGTGCTTAAGTGCCAGAAAACTGGCATTTTCAAGTGTCAAAAAAATCATTTATCACTACCCCCAGCATAATCATCATAGTGCTTAACCCTGAACAGTGTTAGTCCACAAAGCGCTTTGAACATATGCTCATTCAGATTCATTGACTTATGTTACAAATACCATGTAGCATAAGGAGAGAATGTGTCACATGAAGTATCCCACTGGTCATTTACTTTGAATTCTTTCACAAGGTTAAAACACATAGAGACTGTAGGTGCACACCCAGGCAGAGGGAAATGTCCAATCTGGGAACTTCTCTTTCAGAGCGTCCAGCTGCGAGGATCTCTTGTTTTCCCCAGAAAGGTAGTGGGCGGCAATGGCCACAGTGACTATGCCCTCTGGCTGTTCTTCCAAGACCTGGCAGAGAAAATTAGTTAGTTTTCTAGCTCTATGAAGGCAGAATACTGATCCTAAGTATTTGACAGTTGCCAAATACCACCAGGGAACCTGACCAATGATGCCAGCAATGCTGGGAAACTCCCACCTGTACTTCTATCCAGAACTGCCATGCAGGGGCTTGGAGTCCATGGGAGTAAAATACGAAGTAGTCTCCTCCTTTACTTGTGACTGGACGGCCACTGCCAAGAGACCACTGAGAAAGTGTTGACCCTTTGTGAGTACGAACATAGAATGACATATGGCTTGGTCCTGCAACAAACAGAAGAAATATTAGTGACAACTATCTTGAAAAGCAATTAAGCCACCATCCAGACCAGACTGTGAAGTTCATGTCTTTTATCACTTTAAAAACACTCATTGCAAACCTAATGGAGGTTTGCCAGTTTGGACTTTCAGTGTAGATTAACAAGGGTAAGTAAGTGCTGTGCAGCAGGAAAGGCACAGATGTTACAGTGAGAAAACCTGGGTTTAAGTTTTGGCCCAGCCATAAGAACCTAGCACACATGAGAGCCTTTCTTCAGAAATCTAGAGAATAAGCTTCATCTAACCATGATATGAGAACTAGCAAAACAACTGATAATGAGCCCTGGGTGGTGTGGTTCAGTGGACTGAGTGCCAACCTGCAAACCTAAAGGTCGCAAGTTTGATTCCCAGTCAGGGCACATGCCTGGGTTGCAAGCCAGGTCCCCTGTAGGGGGTGTGCAAGAGGCAACCACACATTGATGTTTCTCTCCCTCTCTTTCCCCCTCCCTTTTTCCCTCTAAAAATAAAGTTTAAAAATCTTTCTTAAAAAAGAACTAAAGAGAATTTTACTATATTCAAACATATTACAAATACTGAGGTGTGACAGTGGAAGACTAATGTACAGATGTTGCATGTAACATGACAGGGAAAAAGGAAAGTGGAATAACCACACTGTTGTGTAGGCTAAGAGTTAAAGAATGCCATTAAAACCTGACATACAGATAATGAAAAGTTAAGTAACAGGTGATCAAAGAAAAATATAAACTTCCTTAAATGCCAGAAAATGTCTTAAAAGAACAAAGAAGACACCACAGAAAAAGGAATATAAAACACAGCATTAGCCATAAAATTGTGCAACCTGACTCAGCCACTAGAAGAAACCAGAGGGGAGAGGGGACGGAATTTCAGGGGAAAAGGGGAAGGGCTTACAGGAACAAGTATAAAGGACACATGGACAAAAAAAAATAGGGGGGATGGAAATGGGGGAAGGTGGGGAGGGGTGGGCTGGGATGGGAGTAAAAGACAGAAAACGGTACTTGAACAACAATTTTTTAAAAAAGCAGTGGATAATGACAATTTTGAATAAAAAGGAGTTAGTATTTAAAAAAAGTTTTCAACTTGGCTTACAAAGCTGACCTAATATTCAAGGAACACAGTTAAAGAGATTAAGAAAACATAAAATTAAAGGTATGAACAAAGGTATTTCAGTCAAGTGGACACAATTTTAAAAAGACCTCTTTGCCTTTCATGACTTGGAATACTTCTTTCCAGCCCCTTCTTGCCTGCAAGATCTCTTTTGAGAAATCAGCTGACAGTCTGATGGGAACTCCTTTGTAGGTGACTGTCCCCTTATCTCTTGTTGCTTCTATCTCTTGTTGATTCTCTCCTTCATTTTGATCTTGGCTAATGTAATTATGATGTGCCTTGGTGTGTTCCTCCCTGGGTCCAACTTCTTTGGGACTCTCTGAGTTTCCTGGACTCCCTGGAAGTCTATTTCCTTTTCCAGATTGGGGAAGTTCTCCTTTATTATTTGTTCAAATAACTTTTCCAGTTGTTGCTCTTCCTCCTCTCCTTCTGGTACCCCTATAATTCAGATGTTGGAACGTTTAAAGATGTCCTGGAGGTTCCTAAGCCTCTCCTCATTTTTTTGAATTCTTGTTTCTTCATTCTTTTCTGATTGCATGTTTCTTTCTTCCTCCTGGTCCACTCCATTGATTTGAGTCCCAGTTTCCTTCCCATCACTATTGGTTCCCTGAACATTTTCCTTTATTTTACAAGTCATGAAAGGCAAGGACCTATATCCAAGATTGCTCTATCCAGGAAAGCTTTCATTTAGAATGGAAGGGCAGATAAAGTGCTTCCCAGATAAGGTCAAGTTAAAGGAGTTCATCATCACCAAGCCCTTGTTATATGAAATGTTAAAGGGACTTATCTAAGAAAAAGAAGATAAAGACATACAGTAAAATGACAGCTAACTCACAATTATTAACAACCACACCTAAAACAAAAACAAAAACAAACTAAACAACTAGAACAGGAACAGAACCACAGAAATGGAGATCACATGGAGGGTTAGCAACAGGGGAGTAGGAGGGGGAGAGAAGGGGGGAAAAGGTACAGAGAATAAGTAGCATAGATGGTAGATAGAAAATAGGGGGAGGGTAAGAATAGTATGGGAAATGTAGAAGCTCAAGAACTCATAAGTATGACATGGACATGAACTAAGGGGGGAATGTGGGTGGGAGGGGGTGAACAGAGTGGAGGGGAGTAAAGGGGGGGAAATGGGACAACTGTAATAGCATAATCAATAAAATATATATATTTTTAAAAAGACCTCTTTGATGTCAGAAGAAAACATGTGAAGACAAAAAGCACTAAAAATAAAGACCTAAAAGCTGTAATTCACATAAAAATTGTTACCAAATAACATAGCAACTACTATGACGCAAAACTACAGGAGATGCAAGATGTATACATAGAAACAAAAGAAACTAATATTCCATCAGTATAAGACATCAATTGAACAAAAAACAGTGACATAAAAGATCTAAAGAAAATGATCAGTGAAGTAGACCATAAAATATACATATCAAACTTTACATGATACAGGATATATCTCAAGTAGGCATAAAACATTCATAAAAATCTTAGGTCACAAAAGATATCAAAGTTCTATAAAATTGAGATTACAAATAACATTCTGATCACAATAACGCTTGAAATTATCAGCAAAACAAAACAGCTTTCTACACGGAAATTAAAAGGTCTATTTAAGACTCATGAGTAAAAGGAAACAAAAATTATGGAAATTTTTTAAAATAAGAGAAATACTACACATACAGAAACTACTGGATATATGAAAAACAGTGATAAAACAAAATCCAGAGCAATAAGCTCTTTTTTCAGTAAAATAAAAGAATAAAATGACAAGTAAAAAAGGACAACCAAGTAAAAAGAGCATAAGTTAGGAAATGCTATAGATAAAATCAGCAATCAATGAAATGGAGAATAGGACAAAACACCTACCTTAAACAATCAAAACCAATTTATTTTTAACAAGATGGGCGTAGTCTGGGCGGAGGGGGGCAAAGTGGGAAATATTAGGACAACTGTAATATAACTAAAAACTTTTTAAAAAGAAAAAAAATTAACCAGACAACTACTAGGTAACAATTAAGAAAGGGACAGCAGGGGAGGGAACAACAAACCAAGTATGCAAAAAGAGAAATAAGAAAAATAAACAAGTGTGTAAATCACCGGTGACTACTTTGTAGACCTCCATAAACAACTGAAAACCCAGATGAAATAGATACTTTTCTAGAAAAATACAGGTGACCCAAACACACCTATAAAGCTTAGGCAAACAAATTAACCCTAGAAAAAGTTATTAACCTACCCCACAAAAAAAGCACAGGCCCGGGTGGTTTCCGAGAGAATTTCAAGCCAACTTTTCAACCAAGTAGTTCCAGTACTCCATAAACTGTTCCAAAGCGTTGAAAATTTAAGGAAAACTTACCAACTGTTTTCATGATGTATAACATTTATGATGTTTTTACATTTATACTGCATAACACTGATACCTAAATCTGAGTACAACACACACACACACACACACACACACACACACACAGAGACCAGTACCATTCATGAGTGCTGATGCAAAATTTCTAAATAAAATATTAGCAAACATCCAACATCACAGTAAGAAAATAATTAGGCTATGACCTGGATAATTATACCATATTAAAATATCCAAGGAAGAAAAAAAATCTATGATTATTATTATAGATTACTAAAAAAACAAAGTCTCTCACAAAATTAAAAACCATTCCTTATAAAAATATTCTAGAATTTGCCCTGGCTGGTGTGGCTCAGCAGATTGAGTGCCGGCTTGCAAACTGAAAGGTCACTGGTTTGATTCCCAGTCAGGTCATGTGTCTGGGTTATGGGTGGGCCATGTCCCCAGTTGGAGGTGTATGAGAGGAAACCAACTGATGTTTCTCATCCTTTCTCCCTCCCTCTCTTCCTTCCCCCTCTCTCTAAAAATAAAGTCTTTAAAAAATAGAAACAACGGCTGATGAATGCTTGGTTAACACAATAAAAAGTAATCAATCTACCTTAGTCCTGAAGATATCTTATATAATGGGAAAACACTAGAGACCTCTGTACTGATACCAAGAACAAGGCGAGAATGCTGCCATCTCAACAACTGTTGTACACTACGCTAGACGTATTAGCCATTTACACAAATCAGAGGCACAAGAACTAGTAAAGAAGAAATAAAGAAATGTGCAGTAGTCAAAAGTTATACCTGAGTTCTGCTTTTGTGTAGCTGTCAGGCTCCTAATGGTTTCTGTTTTTTAAACAGTGGTTAACAAAAGAACCCACCACAGAGACATCTGCCAAAGCCTAAAATATTTACTATCTGACCTTTTAAAGTTTGGCAATTCCTGGTATATCTGGAGAACCCTAGGATATCGTGATTAACTTAAAAAATAAAAGACTCAGCCCTGAATCTTTTCTGGTGTGGTTCAGTGGACTGAGCGCCAACTTGTGAACCAAAAGATCGCTGGTTTGATTCCCAGTCAGGGCACAAGCCTGGGTTGCAGGCCAGGTCTCTAGTTGGGGGTGTGTGAGAGGCTACTTGATCAATGTACTCACGTTGATGTTTCTCTCCCTCTTTCACCCTTCCTTCCCCTCTCTCTAAAAGTAAATAAAATCTAAATAAAATAAACAAACAAAAGTTCAGCCAGCCCTGGCCAGGTAACTCAGTTGGTTAGAGTGTAGTCCCAACACGTCAAGGCTGCAGGTCCGATCCCCAGCCAGGGCACATATAGGAATCAACCAATGAATGCATAAATAGGTGGAACAAGAAGTTGATGTTTCTCTCTCTCAAATAAATTAAACAATAATAAAAGATTCAGTGAGTTAACAAAATATAAAACTGACATACGCAAGTCGTTTGCCTTCATACATACAAATGATTAATATAACAGTTAAAAGAT